TACGAAGAACAACCAGTGCAGATTCTCAATCGTCGTAATCAAGTTCTCCGAAAAAAAGACCATACCGCTGGTGAAGGTCTTATGGCGGAATCATCGCATCAAAGAAGCTACGTGGGAAACGGAAAGTCAAATGCGAACCAAATACCCACACCTCTTCGGAAATTAAGGTACGTCGAGTTTGGGGACAAACTCCTTTTTAGGAGGGGAGAAATGTGACACCCCGACCGTTTAATTAAGTACCACATAAATATTTAGAGTTAAATATAATTATGGTTGTATGTGATGATAGACTATTAAATAAATGAATATATAAATTTAATTTGGCTTGGGTCTTGGGTTATCAAATATAGGATGAATTAGGAATTATTATTATTAGGAACAAATTAACACATTATGGAATTATAATATTAGTTGGGTCAAACTAATATTGCTAGCAAGAATAATAATAACAATCTGTAAAGTAAAATAAAATAATTAATTTTATAATGATAAAACAAAAAATAATAATAATAAACTAAGATATAATTTAATTTAAATTAGGAACATTTAAAGAGCTTAACATTAAAACAAATGAATAAATGAAAAAAAAAAAAAAAAGAGGAAATGAGAATTTGTTGGCCCAGCAGCAGCTTATGGATTTTTGGCCCAAAAAAAAAAGGAAAAAAAAAAAACTGTTTTCATTACTGTAAGGACATTCATTCTTAACCTCTTTACGCATTATGTTATTCACTGGGCTTTAGCTCACTGCTCATATATATAGGTAGGTGTACAGGCACCAGACCGCGGCTAGAAGCGTCAGGGTTACTCCAGTTTTGTCAAGCCAGCCTATGTGCCTCACTGCGAGGTTTTGAGCCTATCGTGTTAAGGCTTAGGGGTGTTTTACAATTCCCCCTTCTGCACTGTCTTGCTGTTTGTTATAATCGAATGGATTGTATAGACTGAACGTTTACCGTACTGCTATGTAAGGGATGGAGTCCCTAGTCTGAATAATTGTATATATTGTGTATACTGTTCTGTACTGATTATGTAGATATGTATGAAAGTCTTTTTGCATACAGACTGTCATAGCTCGTTGGACATTGTTTCTTTACTATTTTGGCTTCCACCAGGCCCTGTACTCTGTTTTACTGTGCTACTGGTAAGCAGGCCTTTGGTAATCTCGGATTACTGGCCGGTTACGGTGCTAAACCCATAGGGCCGGGTTTGAGTCATGACAGATACTTCTACCGAATTGTGGCACAAGCGGCTTGGCCATATGAGTGAAAAGGAGCTACAAGTTTTGTTCAAAAAAGAGCTTCTAACCGGTTTGAAAGGTACACATCTCAAAATTTGTGTTCACTGTTTGGCGGGTAAACAACATAGAGTTTCTTTTCATAAAAATGTTGCTTCTAGAAAAGAAAATGTTTTGGAGTTGATTCATTCGGATGTTTGTGGTCCTTTGAAAGTTAGAACACATAGTGGTGCACTTTATTTTGTTACTTTCATTAATGATTATTTAAGGAAAGTTTGGGCTTTTCTACTAAAAACTAAAGATCAAGTTCTAGAAGTATTTAAGCATTTTCAGGCCATGGTTAAAAGAGAAACATGACAGAAATTGAAGTGCATCCGATCAGACAATGGTGGTGAATACATTGGGCCATTTGAAGAGTATTGTCGCAGCCAAGGTATTCGGCACCAAAAGACAGTTAAGAAGACTCCTCAACAAAATGGTGTTGCCGAGAGGATGAACCGCAGAATTGTGGAAAGAACAAGGTGTTTGCTTTCACAAGCTAAATTGCCAAGATCCTTTTGGGAAGAGGCAATGAAGATAGCGGTTGACGTGATCAATTTGTCTTCTTCCTATCCTTTGAATGGTGATGTTCTTGAAAGAGTTTGGACCGACAAAGATGTGTCTTATGAGCACTTGAGAGTGTTTGGTTGCCGAGCCTTTGTTCACATTCCAAAAGATGAGAGGTCCAAGCTTGATAGGAAGTCAAGACAATGTATTTTTCTTGGCTATGGGCATGATGAATTTGGTTATCGATTGTGGGATCCGGTCAACAAGGAAGTTATTCGAAGTCGTGATATTGTGTTTCTTGAAGACCAAACAATTAAAAACTTTGGCAAATGTGATCAACCAGAGCCAAAAACTAGTGATCTCATTGACATTGATCCATCTCCTTCGTCTTCGGTGGATAATGAAAATGGGGGAGATGTGCAGCCACCTCTTGAAGATGTAGATGATGATGATGCTATTCAAAATGAAGTTGAGCCCGAAATTGAGGAAGAGCATCCAACTCAAGAACCGCCACTACAACTTGAGTTAAGGAAATCTACAAAAGATTGAAAACCTTCGAGAAATTATCCTCCTAATGAATTTGTGTTGATTTCTGATCAAGGGGAGCCTGAGAGCTAACAAGAAGCAATTGAGCATGCAAAGAAAGATGATTGAAAAAAGGCAATGGAAGAGGAGATGAATTCCTTACTTGAAAATCACACTTATGATTAAGTGAAGCTACCTAAAGGGAGGAAAATTCTGAAAAATAAGTGGGTTTTCAAATTGAAGAATGATAGCAAGAATCTGAGGTACAAAGCGCGTCTTGTTATGAAAGGCTTTGAGCAAAAGAAAGGTATTGACTTTGATGAGATTTTCTCGCCGATTGTGAAGATGTCTTCTATTCGGGTTGTACTTGGCATGGTTGCAAGTATGAACATTGAAGTTAAGCAACTTGATGTGAAGACCGCATTTCTTCACGGTGAACTTGAAAAAGAAATTTACATGGAGCAACCAAAAGGTTTTGTGGAGAAAATGAAATATATTTGTTCGCAAATTAAGAAAAAGTTTGTATGGCCTCAAGCAAGCCCCGCAATGGTACAAAAAATTTGACTCTTTCATGATGAATAATGGTTTTTTTAAAACCACTTCGGACCATTGTGTGTTTGTGAAAAAATTTTCGGATGGTAAATTTATTATTCTTTTACTTTACGTTGATGACATGTTAATTGTGGGTCAAGATTCTACCATGATAAACAGGTTGAAATTGGAGTTGAGCAAGTCTTTTGCTATGAAAGATTTGGGGCAGGCAAAGCAAATTCTTGGTATGAAAATTATTCGTGATTGCAAAGAGGGACTGATTTGGTTGTCTCAAGTAAACTACATTGAGAAGGTTCTTGAGATATTTAACATGGATAAAGCAAAGCCGGTTGATTGTTCACTTGCGGGTCACTTCAAACTTAGTTCGAATCAATGTCCTACAAGTGAGAAAGACAAGGAAGAGATGCTGAAAATTCCTTATGCTTGAGCAGTTGGTTCTCTGATGTACGCCATGGCTTCTACAAGGCCGGATATTGCTCACGCCGTTAATGTGGTGAGTCGGTTTCTCTCTAATCCGGGTAAAGAACATTGGACAGTGGTAAAATGGATTCTAAGATATCTTCGAGGGACTTCGAAGGTGTGTTTGTGTTTTGGAGATGGTAAGCCGATGCTTGATGGGTTCACAGATTCTGACATGGCCGGTGATGTTGATTCTAGGAAATTTACTTTGGGGTATTTGATGACTTTTGCAGGGGGAGCTATGGCATGACAATCTAAATTACAAAAATGTGTTGCTCTCTCAACTACCGAAGCTGAATTTATTGCCATTATGGAAGCTTGCAAAGAAGAGTTATGGTTGAAGAAATTTTTGCAAGAGTTGGGTTTGAAATAAGAAAAATATGTGCTTTATTGTGATAGTCAAACTGCTATTCATTTGAGTAAAACCTCTACTTTTCATTCGAGATCGAAACACATTGATGTGAGATACCATTAGATTCGTGATGTGTTAGATTCGAAATTGTTGCAACTCGAAAAGGTTCACACGGATGATAATATTTCGGATATGTTGACTAAAACTTTGTTGAGGGATAAACATTTGAAGTGTCGAACTTTGGCGGACATGGTTGATGTCTCCACCTAAGTCGATAGGGGGAGAATTGTTGGGGTATATCTCCTTATTGGAGTTTGAGACCCAATTGGTTTATTAAAAGAGTTTAATTTGGTTTGGTATTAGTTATAATATATTTTTATATATTATATCAAATTTGTGGAGACCCAATTCAATTTGGATACAATTAGAATTTTGATAAAACAAGTCCAAGATTTAATAATGATATATATATATATATATTGTTGTTCCCGAAGTAGAGAGTGTCGCTGCTATAGAGCAATTGAAAATTAATTTGGTGGAATCAAATTTTGGGTGAGTGAAAAGTGTTACTTTTTGGCTGCTGAATTTGAAGTTCTCTATCTTGCGGTTTATTGCTTTTTTGAAGCACTGTACGTGTGCATCTTGATTACTTTGGTGAAGTTGATTTGGGTTATTATTTTGGATCTTCTTCAATTCTGTTTCGAAGATAATTTTATTTATCTATTTAGTGAGATCTTTCTTCTTGTTTATTTGTCATTATTTGGAATTCACCTAAGGGTGGTTTTGTGAGACCATTCGTGTCTCGTTTGTAATCGTTTGGAAACTATTTGGTTGATAGTGGAATCGGATTTTGATCCCGTGGGCGTACCTCACATTGAGGGAACCATATAAAATTCTTGTGTTGCCTTTTGATTTAATTTTTTCGCATTAGTTTTTATTCCCTATTGATTGATTTACTTGTGGGGAATCACATATTTTCCCTAACAGTAGGTGGGATGTTTAGCTATAAATTTTAAAATAAATAAATAAATAAATATTTGATGTACTCTAGTCACACATTACTTTTTTTAGATTTTACCGTATTGACATACCCATATCATACCCATATCCGTGTCTATACCGGCAACCGTGCTTCATTTGAACTCATAAGTCATTTTAATCTAACAATTTGATTCGTGTTTAAGCACTGGAAGGCAACACTTACACTGAAAAAGAGATGCTCTTGGAAGAAATGCTTAAGCACTATACTCTAGGAACCATTTATTATTTTTGATGATTAAAATTGGCTACACTACTTGGCAAAATAGTCACAGATGCTGTCAAATCTTGAAAATGTAGATTAACAAAACAAAGCATGAGAATACTACCTTTAGAGAGTCATGCTGTATTTTTAGAAGAACTTTTGACATGTTTAGGGATGTAAAAGTTGTTTGAATATTATTTATTGGATATTCCATTTCCTGGCAATTGACTAGTCTCACATATATATTACCAGCCTCAAATGGGCACACTGCAGAGCTGGTTTGATGCAGAATTCCGCTTGGCTCATATGTGCTCTGTCAAGAAAAAAGAGTGGATAGTTGTCCGGGCCACTCTTTTAAGGTGATCTGAGGTATACATGCTACGGAAATATTTTTAGCCGGAAAAGTTTAATGATGTTTACGTATCTAATTGAATATGATGAAATGTATTGTTTTTGTTGCATTATCATTTATCACTCGCGTGATGCTGCAGAGCTTCTTTTTGATTTATTTCAACATGATATGCTGTTGTGGAAAGCATATAGCATCACTCTGCAGGTACTTCTCTTAGCCCTTTCGGATTGGGTGATTTGGGAAGAAAAGAAATGCATATCTCTTAGTTCATATCACTTGTTTGGATTAATAAAAAGGTGAGAAATTGGGTGAAATGAAGAGAAACCCATTTCTCTTATAACCCTATGCTCCAAAAAGTGAAGAGATTGGGAGAGAAAAGAAATCCACAATTTACTATTTTTTATGATTTGCATATCTCTTGTTTCAAAGTGCCTTTGTCTTTGAGGGATATTCCATTTACTATACAAACAAATTTTTTTAAAAATTCACATACAAATGATGTGGGTTTTTGTGGCATTTTCAATTTCAAACTAAAACGCCTTCTGTTATGGCTTGTAATTTAAAAAACTGAATTACTACATTATTTTGGATGAGTTTGATGTATAAAAATTGTGTTTTTAATTCATTTCAATGCGTTGTTTGGTTCTGATTATCAACCTCTCAACAAACTGAGAATTATTTTGGTATACTCATAGAAAGAACCAGTCGTTCAGCATCTGTATACGGGACGACCAACTCCTGTGTTCACAAAAATGAGCGTTCTCCATCAAACCACTGGTGATGCTGATGACTCATGGTGGATTTATGCTAATAATCCATTGTTTCTGGTCATAATATGTTTCTTAGCCAAAAGAATTTTGAAATTCATTAAATGTGGGTTTTGGAGTTGGGAATGAATTTTCGGGCTGCAGATGATATGAGTGTCATGCTGTGAAAGCATGGAAGAGATTGTGTTTTGGAATGTTGGTGAAGGTAATGACTCGCTTTTTTTTTTTTTTTTTGTCTAGGTTGTGAATGCAAGGTCTACTATTCCATTTTTATTTTTAGGTTCATAATTTTCGTAGTTTATAATATAATTTTGAATGTTACAGAACGATTGTGTTGTTTGTAGTTGTCAAACAAGTTGAAAGCTATACTAATGAAGAGAATTACTATGTTGCACATAACGATTGTGTTGTTTGTAGTTGTCAAATCTTGCATGGGATGCTATACTTCTACATTTTCTAGAGAACCAAACATTTGTGAGTTTTGCTACATTAGGAATTAGAAATTTCGTTTCTTTAAATCGGAATCAAACACGTGATCCATGAGTTTTAGGTTTAACCCATAATTGTTGGTGATAGATAGTTATCAGACATAGTACCTTGTTTGATTTTGGCTGAAATAGTCATTTTGTGGCTATTTCAGATTATAAAAAAATAAAGGATATTAAAAGGAAAATTATATACCAAGAATGTGATTAAGTGAAAATGATGAATAACTAGGAATACCAGGGGGAGAAGAAAAAAAATCCACATGCATTGCATGTGCACTACAACTAGTTTTTCTGAAAGAGAGAAAACACGATATTTTCTCGTCTTCCCTAACTTGTGTAATCATTTCTTTTCTTTTCTCTCCCAAATTCCCAAACATAGTTAAAGATTTTCTAGGTTACAGTGACTATTCATTTATTTGCCTCACTTTCCTTTCTTGATGTACTGCCACTCATATCCGGCATTTGCTGAATACCAAGATTTGCTTGAAGCCTCGTAAGAGAAACTTTCATCCACTGCAAGTTTGGAAGAGAAATGAGGTGGATTTTAGATTCTCTGAACCTTATTGGTTCACTTTTGACAACGGATTGACTACCAAACCAGTGTAGCTCTTCTCAACAAGAATCTTCTCGTGCTGATAAAAAAGAAAAAAAGAAAAAAAAAATACATCTTGTTGGGGGAATTAAAGATTTCAGATGAATCACATTCAAATGAATGATCAGACATTGTGTTCTCCTGAGCACAACAAAAAACAGACCAGGAAATCATATGATAACCATTCATCAACCATATCTCTTGTCTGATTCAAGTCACAGATTAAGTGTTATTCTTTGTAGATAAGGCAGTTGAATTAATGGTGAGAGGCCAACTATAAGCTTCCAGTTAGTTCTCTCTCACAACCTGTATCATTTTCCCCCAGTGTAGCATTAGTAATGAATTTTGCAGATGGTTTTGTGTTGAAGTATGGTTATGAATGTCAACAAGTCTCTCTCACAATAGGCTGGACACAGAATCTTGTCATGTATACACATTTCATTCAATAAAATGAACACAAAATTCGCAATCTATGCCGTGTCTCAGACCATCTTCAGGCCGTTTTGTTTATTTAAGTTCTTACATTAGGAGCCCGACAAAGAATTAAAACACATAAAGTTGTCATGAAAATGATGGGGCCCACTAGGGCATTAGCTCCCCAATATACCTTTTCATACCCCTCTTGTGAGCCTTAACTGGAGCATATAGATTATTTGAACCGTCTGTTTTGTAAGTCTAATAATAAAGGTCATTTATATAAAAAAAATAAATTTATTAGACATTTATAAATATTGAAATAAATCACATTTTATTTTATAAAATGAATAGCAAATATAATTGTAAATTTGAACAATTTATTTTATAAAATAAAATACGATTTGTTCATGTGTCTATAATTGTCCGATGAAATTGATTTTTTACATAAATAACTTTTATTGTGAGGTCTACAAGATAGACGGTTTGGATCATATTCTTGGGTTGGGGCCCACAAGAGTCTATGAAAGAGTATGTTAATCCGTTTGTTTTGGGTGATAAAGAAGGAATTGGACTAGGATAGTTGTGAGATCCACTGTAATGGTGTTTGTTTGCAAAATAAGAAAGGGGATTCATAGTCCCTTAGGGTCCGTTTGTTTTCAGAGATAGAATTGAGGGAGTTTGTAATTAGGAGATTGTTAGTGAGGGAATTAAGTAAAATTGTATTTGTTTTGATGATAGTTGTTAGTGTAGGGACTTCATCCCGCCCACTTAGAGATATTATCTTTGGTTGGTATTCTTATTATTTTTTACTAGGATAAATTTCATTGTGGTAATATGTACATTCTTAATATTTTTTATTAGTTTAATTTAGTATATTTAGTAATGTAGCTCATGAGGTCAAATGATAACTACTCATTTATTTTGATATATATTTAAAAAAAACAAAGGAGCACAATGCCTTTTTTAAAAAGGACATTGTTCCACAGTCTTTCAAATTGTTAAAGATATTTATGATAGTATTAATATAAAAATCTCAAATAATGTCATTTTTAATAATTGTGAATATTGTTATCTTCTTACAAGCTAATGTTTCGTCCTTTTGTTAATGTGGGGATATTTTTTCTGAGTACCAACACGTGATCAAGGTGACGCCGACATGTCAGCCGAGGTGCCACGTGTCCTAGTCATGACGCCAAGGTGATCTCGGCAAGCCCGAGGTTATCTTCGAAGATATCGGAATCCGAGATAAGCGGATAAGGCACAAGAGTCCTAGAATGGAAGAAGACTTCAGTTTGGGTAAAGATGAGACTCTTAGAGAGTTTATCCTAATTATACTGGGAGTCCAAGATTAGCAATAAATCCTAAGTCCATTAGAGCTAGGCTTCTATTTGGGACTAGGATTGTGTTGGTTATAAAAGGGATGCACCCCCATGGGTCTAAGGGATGCTTTTGATATTCTGTCTAGTGAGTTAAGCACTATTTGTTATCTTTGAGAGATATTGAGTATTGACTTGATCGTCGGAGTACTCCCGGGTGGACGAACCACCGCTGGAGTCTCTTCTTTCTGTTGTAGGTCAGTCAGGTGTCATCTATTCTACCAGTGCTCTCCAGTTGAAAACTAAGTTGGCGGTGTGGTCGAAAATCAACACCCACAATTTGGCGCCGTCTGTAGGAACCAAACACTACAACAAAAAACACATTTTATAGCATTCGATGAATGCTATCAAAAGTAAACAATAGCATTCGTTGGAATGCTATGTTTGCCCATGTTATTAAAAGTGTGTCATTTTTAATAACATTTATCGAATGTTATCGTTGAACGCTATCGTAAATATATTATAACAATTTTTGAATGCTATGAAATAGTTAAAAGTTACTAAAAATACCGAAGGATAATAGTTTGTTAATGTTATCAAATTGTTTTTATAGCAATGTAGTAATGTTACAATTTACCATATCATAACTAACTACGAATGTTATAATAAAGCATGACAACAAAATTTTTGATAACATTTTTTTAATGCTATAAATTCCTCATTATGATAGTAATTTTAAATGCTATCATATAGTAGTTATAAATATAATTAAAATCCATTCCAACACCAATATTGGAAACCTAAATCTTGTAAATGGAACTAACACATTTTCATCCATCACATACAAAACAATATCATCATTGAAAGATAACTCATCGCCACAAATTTCAAGAAATAATAAAATTGTCATAACATTGTTTTAATAAAGTACCAAAACACAATCTCTCACTATGTTCAGAAAAATAAAAACAAAAACTTAAAGCCATAATGTCGATATGTACAAGACATAATAACACATTCAAATTCCTTTTTCTGCATCCACAAACTTCAAAGCTGACTTCTATTGGTCCCATCTTCTTTCCAAAGCTAATAACTACAAAACAATAATCAACACGTCACAGTAAGTATACTCAGTTTAAAAATAAAATGTATATCATTAAAAAGGAAAAATAGAAAGAAAATTATATCAATAAACGAAGTATTTTTACCTAATGCTTATATCTCTACTCTTTTTCCCTTTCAAAAGCATGTAAGGAAATACAAAGTGACACAATGAATGCAAAGGAGAATTGTCATTAAGAATTTTTTGAAAAAAAATTAATGTTTTACCGGTACATGCAAGCTTTATGTTTGTGTGCGTGTGTATATATTTTTATATTTAGTTTTCTGCAAAGGGTTCAAACATGTACTCACTAATTGCAGTTCTGTGATAAAAGCTGGAAATTTTTTTAAATATTCTAAAATGGTGGGGTGTCACAAATCCGTCCAAAACATTTTTAGAGCTGGCAACATGGTGGCTTGTAATGGATATGATGGCTCAAGCCAAAAAGTTGGTGAGGGACCAACAACCAAAAAACAAAAAAAAAAAAACTTGGCCCAAAAAAAGCAAACCAACTAACAGAACAAGCAACCAAATCAAGCAGCAGTAGCAAGAACAAAACAAGCATCAAATTAAAAAGCCACTAGGAACAAAAACGAGCAGCAGTAATAACCAAATCAGATGCTAGATAAAAAGAACACCCAATCCAGTAGCAGCAGCAACCAAATCAAATGCTAGGTACAAATCATTCATCCCCTACGACTCTGAGCAAAACCCAATGCAGATGCCTTCAACTTCTTCTCCCTGAACCAGTAGAATTTCTCACCTGCTACAAATTTACCAGTACATGCAAGCTTTATGTTTGAGTGCATGTGTATATATTTTTATATTTAGTTTTCTGCAAAAGGTTCAAACATGTACTAACTTATTGCTATTCTGTGATAAAAGCTGGAAAATTTCATCAATATTCTAAAATGGTGGGGTGTCACAAATTCGTCCAAAACATTTTTAGAATTGGCAACATGGTGGCTTGTAATGGATATGATGATAAAAAGTATTTGAAAATCTTTATTTTATGCTATTTTGTCAATTATTTGGTTCTCAATGAATTACCCTGTTTTCATTTAGACATAGATGTGACTGTTATGAACTTAAGGAGATGGTAAAAGTTTGTGCAACTTTTTGGTGAAGGCAACACAAAAGATATTATTTTTCAGCATTGATGATTGCTAGTCTTGAAATGTGGGAGTAGAAGGCACGAAAACTAGAAAGCTATTCAAGTTAGATTGGATCTTATAATGGTCATCTATAATGAGAAGATCATATTATTAGAGTAAAAAAAGAATGCAATAAAGAACGAGAATCATAATATACAAGAATTTTCAAAAAACTAAATATAGTTCTAATAAACAGCAAAGCAATATCCAAATCAAATAAAAATACACATAATAAATAAATAACTAAACTAATATAGTTTGATGAAATATCAACCACAAAATTTGAATAAGCTAAACAATCCCTCCCCTCCCTTCCCATAGAGAAAAAAACAAAAAAACAAAAAAACTCTCCTATAGTGCATGATGGAGTACATTAAATGCTT